AGAGAGAGAGATGGGAGTTCCTTGTGGTATGCATCATGGTGGTGACGTCAGCAGGCAGTAAAGGTGATGACAGAGTTTGGTGGTAGGAGAGGGTGGGTGGTGAGGTGGTGTGGGTGGTGAGGTGGGTGTGGGTGGTGAGGGAATGTGGGTGGGAGGTGGGTGGGTGGTGAGGTGGGTGGGTGGTGAGGTGGTGTGGGTGGTGAGGTGGTGTGGGTGGTGAGGTGGTGGGTGAGTGTGAGGGTGTGGGTGGTGAGGGAGTGTGGGTGAGGTGGGGTGACCCTCATCTTTGCCAGAAATTCAACTTTCTAAGCTTCGATATTTTCCTTAAGGTGTGTGTGTGTGTGTGTGTGTGTGTGTGTGTGTGTGTGTGTGTGTGTGTGTGTGTGTGTGTGTGTGTGTGTGTGTGTGTCGTAAACGCGATAACTGGAACAAAATTTCAGTGGATGTAAATCAAAGTTGGATCGTTGTTATGGCGTCCTGGACTGTGAGGGCGTCCTGGACCTTGTTATGGCGTCCTGACCTGGTTATGTCCTGACCTGTGATGGCGTCCTGGACCTTGTGATGGCGTCCTAGATCTTTTATTACGTCCTGACCTTGTGATGGCGTCCCGACCTGGTTATGGCGTCCTGGACCTTGTTTTGCGCGTCCCAGACATTTTATGGCGTCCTGGACCTTGTGATGGCGTCCTGGACCTTGTGATGGCGTCCTGACCTTGTCATGGACCTTGTTATGGCGTCCTGGACCTTGTTATGTACCTTGTTATGGCGTCCTGAACCTTGGTGATGGCGTCCTGGACCTTGTGATGGCGTCCGGACCTGGTTATGGCGTTCTGGACCTTGTGATGGCGTCTGGACCTTGTCATGGACCTTGTTATGGCGTCCTGGACCTTGTTAGGTACCTTGTTATGGCGTCTTGAACCTTGTGATGGCGTCCTGACCTGTGATGGCGTCCTGGACCTGGTTATGGCGTTCTGGACCTGTGATGGCGTCCTGGACCTTATCATGGACCTTGTTATGGCGTCCTAGACCTTGTTATGGCGTCCTGGACCTTGTGATGGCGTCCTGGACCTTGTTATGGCGTCCTGGACCTTGTTATGGCGTCCTGGACCTTGTTATGGCGTCCTGGACCTTGTTATTGCGTCCTGGACCTTGTGATGGCGTTCTGGACCTTGTGATGGCGTAGCGACAGGATCGACGGCATTGTGTGTCATTGTGATACAGAATTATGGCGCCGAGGAGTTTGTTGTGGCGCACCAGATGGACTTGTCCACCTTTACCGCCAACCTTGTTATAAGCAGCTCAGTATTTGTCTCAGTGATGAAAGATGGAGAGAAATCTTTGAGCAAGTGGCCTTTGTGTTTACATGACGTCGGTGGACTGCTGGGGACTTGTCAGATGGCCCCCAATCCCCGTGGGCCCCAGTCCTAATGGACCCCCAGTAATAAAGAGCCCCAGTACTAAGTGCACCCAGTTCAGATGTGACCCAATCCTAATGAGTACCAGTCCCAATAGTTTCCGATACCATTAGTTTGGTTAGGTTAAGCCTATCGGGTCAGGGGGTCCATTTGACCTACAGATAAAGGATTTGGGCCGTCGGGAGCAGAATGTCTTCGCCTTGTTCTCGTGCTGTAGGACACGGGGGAGATATCTTAACGTCACTGGGACACGGTAGGACATGGGGGAGATATCTTAACGTCACTGGGACACGGTAGGACATGGGGGAGATATCTTAACGTCACTGGGACACGGTAGGACATGGGGGAGATACGGTTCAGGGGGTCCTAAATTAACTCGCCTCAGTATGTCCGGCAAGCGGAACCATGGCGCCGAGGAGGAGGTACAAGGAGGAATAGGAAAGAGGAGGAGGAATGAAAGGGGAAGAAGGAAGGAAAATAATAAAGAGGAGGAAGAAGAAAAAGGGAGATGGAGGAGGAGGGAGAGGAGAAAGAATAGGGAGGAGAAAATGTAAGTACTTTCTGAGTGGACGAGTGAGTGAGTGATTGGACGAGTGAGTGGAAGAGTGAGTGATGATTGGACGAGTGGTGGACGAGTGGTGGTGGTTGAGTGGACGAGTGAGTGGACAGTGAGTGAGTGATTGGACAGGTGGTGGACGAGAGTGAGTGAGTGGTGTTTTAGTATTTTAATTTGATAACAGCATCTGGGAGGAGGCGAGAGGGAAGGGGGGGTGAGTCTTGTTATTATCTCTCTCTCTCTCTCTCTCTCTCTCTCTCTCTCTCTCTCTCTCTCTCTCTCTCTCTCTCTCTCTCTCTCTCTCTCTCTCTCTCTCTCTCTCTCTCTCTCTCTCTCTCTCTCTCTCTCTCTCTGTTATTTATCTAACTCTCTGGGTCTGATGAAAACACACACACACACACACACACACATAGATAACACAAGTACACACGACCTTCCGAATAACACACACACACACACACACACACACACACACACACACTATTTACATCAAGAGGACCACGAATTGATGTTTAAAAATTATCTCACAATGTTTATGTTTTATATAATTGTGTGTGTGTTTGTTTGTTTATATAATCATGTTTGCATTATCGTGTGTTTGTTTTTCATGCCCAGATGAACACAAATTAAGGTAAGTTTGTGTATGATTCTGTATATCTTATTATTTATATATTTTGGCCTTAATGTATATTTTTATGTATAATTAATGTTGTGTATTTTGGCCATGAATATTTACGTATGTATGTGTATTTTATATAATGTATAACTGTATAGTGATTTTATATATCATAGTTGGTGTTGTATGGAAGTATATTCTACCATATACGTTATACTATAGCTTGCTGGACTTTTCGTATATCACTATATCGTAATACAGCTTTTATACTAATCTTTTGTTATATGCTTTTAGTTGCCTGATATATAATAGTATACTCCTAACATACTTAAGCTGTGGGGAATATCTGGTATATCCTGGTTATATAATCTAGATAGTATACTCTCTTTATATGCCCTTATATGGCACATTAATCGCTCTAGTATACTTCACCACATGAGCTGTAGTATACTCAGCCTCCTATAACATACCTCTGTTATACTCTACGATATAATGACAGTATATACATGACTCGGCTGCATGAAGCCTCCCTTGTGCTTATCTCAAGATGTGTGGCTTCTTATCTAACCTGCTAGTGAGGCTTCTTCTGGTTGACGGAGATGAGGTGGTTGTGATGATGGTGGTTGTGGTGGTGGTGGTGGTTGTGGAGATGTGGTTGTGGTTTTGTTGTTCGTCTTAGTTGTGGTCATGGTTGTTGTTGTTGTAGTCGAAGATGGTTGTGGTAATTATTGGGATGATTGTGGTAGGTGAGGAAGAGGGAGTGGAGGGAAGGTGTGGGGTGGAGGGAAGGTGTGGAGTGGAGGGAAGGTGTGGAGTGGAGGGAAGGTGTGGAGGGAGCTAGTTACCTGTCTCCTCACCTTCTTCATTATGGGAGACCACGCCAGGAGCACGTGAGGGTGTGACCATTGTTCAAGGTTCCTCCTCCTGCTGGTGATGGTGGTAGTAGTGGTGGTTGTTGTGGTGATGGTGGTAGTGGTGGTGGTTGTTGTGGTGATGGTGGTGGTTGTTGATGTGGTGGTTGTGGTAGTGGTGGTTGGTGTTGTGGTTGTAGTGATGGTGGTTGAGAAGGAGGAGAGTGGATGAATCATGTGGATGTAGTGGGGGTGGAAGTGGATGAATGGGTGGGTCATGTGGGTATAGGATGCGATGAAAGTGGATGTCGTGTGGATGTAGGATAGGTTAGAAGTGGATAGATGGATGGATCGTGTGGGGGGTCTAGGATGGAGAGGAGGGCGAGAGGAAGACAACATTAAGCTGCCACTGGACAGGGGACTCCTATAAGGATTTTCTCACATGTAGGATATCCGCTGGGGGGGAGGGGGGGGGGTCCTGGAAGCCTCAGACCATCAGGGGCTTCTCGTACCTCCTTCTCGGTTTCCTTTTCCGAGTTAGGTTATTGTCCTCTGATGTCCCCTTTGTTCCTCCTAGTTTGCTATTTACCTTCTTGTAGTAGTTCCTAGTTCCTCTTAGTTGCTATTTACACCGTGTATTAAGTTTCTAGTTCCGTGTGTGTTGATAATTCTTGGGGATGTTAATTTCTTCTTCTTTCCCGTGACTAGTTCTCCTCGCTAGCTATTTAAGTTCCTTCAGTTCCTCTTAGTTGCTGCCTATTAAGACTGAGTGGTTCCCTGTAGACTGGTGGTGGAGGTACAGTTGAACTAACAGCTGACTGGTTACATGGGTTACAGTCCCAAAAGTTCCCAACCAAACTTTACCTTTAGTTCAGTGTTAATAGAATCCACTTGTAATGGATCCCTGTGTTAATGGTTGTGGTGACGGAGACTGGAGCCTGTGTACCTGATAGTCAAAAATAATAAACTGCAAAAGTAGGAGTTAGCCATTTTGGAAGCTTTAGTGTAGATAGAGACGCCTGTATTGCATCTTATATTGTCTATCATATATATATATCGTGCATAGTCTTGGGTGGTAGAATAAAACGCTAACTCACTCGGAAACTCTGCGCTAACCTGCATTTTGGGAGCATTTGGTGATGAGAGCGACTCACCTCGGCCGTGCATGACGAGCCGGTGTTGAGACGGCACTTAACTGCATGACTTAACGTGAGGAAGACCGCTGCTTCCCTGGCCTGGCCTCCTGCATGTGTCTGACTCAAGCCAACAACTCCTAAACATATCTTCCTTACTCGCCTCCTGTCCTACGGCTGTGGAGCCTCCATGGGTTACTTGTGGCGACAATACTAACTCCTGCCCTTCGCCTTGCTGCTGCTGTTCTAAGTAACTTTTGCTTGATAATTGGTCTGGGTTCTATGGCAAGACTAACCCTCAAACAATGGCAACAACATGTCAAGACTAACCACAAGACTTCCAGGCACCAACTATGGCAAGATTAGCACTGAAACTTTAAGTCTTCATGTGACAAGTTGATATTTATGTTTGTTCTCTGTCTTCACAAAGGCTTCGCGACGACGGGTCGGCCTCGGAAACCTTCACACAACCCGGCGGGGGTTAGACGAAGCCGCTCTTTCCAGGTGGGTTCCCCTCGACGTGATGACGAGTACCCGGTTCCTCTGTCGAAGGAGTCCCTCTCTGGCCAGGTCGCTCGCTATGTCAAGGAGCTGGAGCGGGGCATCCAGATGACGGTAGAGAACATGATGCCCAAGAAACACTCGCTGGCCTTAGGGGAACACCCTCGACCACCTCCTAGTCCTTCCAAAGACTCCTCCAGCCGGAGCCTCAGCCTAGGCCGCCGCCCCAAGGAGAAACTGCCGCCGACCACTCCTCTCAATGATACCAGTGACACAGGTACCTCCAAGGAGTGCGATGATCGCTCCCCCCAGCGTCACTCAGACACCGCCTCCTCCCAGCGTCACTCAGACACTGCCTCCTCCCAGCGTCACTCAGACACCGCTTCCTCCCAGCGTCACTCAGACACCGCCTCCCCCCAGCGTCACTCAGACACCGCCTCCTCCCAGCGTCACTCAGACACCGCCTCCTCCAGCGTCACTCAGACAATGCCTCCTCCCAGCGTCACTCAGACACCGCCTCCTCCCAGCGTCACTCCAGACACCGCCTCCCTCAGCGTCACTCAGATACTGCCTCTTCCCAGCGTCAGACACCGCCTCCTCCCAGCCTCACTCAGACACCGCCTCCTCCCAGCGTCACTCAGACACTGCCTCCTCCCAGCGTCACTCAGACACCGCTTCCCCCCAGCGTCACTCAGACACCGCCTCCTCCCAGCGTCACTCAGACACCGCCTCCTCCCAGCGTCACTCAGACACCGCCTCCGACATCGTCCTCGATGCCGAAAAGATCTTGCCGGAGGGGGACGACTACAAGCTGGTGTTCATCAGTTCTGATTCTTCTAAAGACTCCGAACTCAATTCTTCTATAGACTCGGACAACTCAGGGTCACCCTCGAGACGGGTGTCGAGTGCGAGCGCCGTCAACGACTCTGACACCGCCGGGTTCATCGACGAAAGTGACTGGGACTACTTCGAGTCGGAGTCGCAAGCTGGACGACGTCGTAAAGTAAATGGCGCCACCCCACGTGTGTTCATCCCAGCCCGTGTGGACGCGAGCGTCATGACGGACGGGGAGTACCTGAGCGGCGGGGCCTCAGAGGGCGAGGAGAGCGACACAGAGTCGTCTCGGGTCAAGGATGTATCACTACAGTTGTCGTTGAGGGTACCGTCTCCTGTCGCTCCTCCCGCCCACCTCCGCCAGGACAGTGACGTCAAGGGCAAAGAGGGCGTGGGCGCCCAAAATGACCACAGCACGCCCACGACATCCGTCCCCACCCAACCTCTCCTCACACCCATCACTGCCATGGACACTAAGGAGCTGCACGCCATGTTACGACAGACGGAGGCGGTGCAAGCGGAAGCTCAAGCACTCCAGGCAGCTCTGATGGGCGCCTTCACCCCACCAGACCCTGCCCTGAGTGCCACGTCCGGCGGGCGGTGGTTCAAGAGGGGCGACTCCACTCGTAGCTCCGCCGAGAGGTCAATGGGCGAGTTGTCGTGTCACGACCAGGTGCGGGCCGCGGGCTCCCCACACGACTCCCCGGCCCTCAGGGAGTACCGCAAGAGGGTCCTGACAGAGATCCAGAACTACTACGGCGTTAACCAGGGCACCAACATGACGAGTCGCGGGCGGCTAGACTGGTACAGTTACCTCACTCAACACCACCCTCGCCCCGCCTCCCCCGCCCCTCCCGCAGCCTTATCTCGCTTATCATATCAGCGGAAAGATAAACCTAACAAACTGGTGGTGACTCGTGGACAAGGAACTAGTGTCAAGCCGTCGTCCACAGTGGGTGGCAGTGCGCAAAGGTCCAGTCGGGATATTTGTATACAAACTGATCCAGACCCCGCCGTAGTGACCTCCAGCTGTGACGAGGAACTCACACCTGAGCCCCAGAAGGTCTCCCCAGCGCCCCCTAGGCTCCTCCTGCGGGGGCCCCTCAACAACCACACCCTACAGGCCGCCGCCGCCGCCACACTGTCCTCCATGGTAAAGGCAACACCTCCAAGGACGCGGGGATACACGGAGTCCTGTGGCGGTGACGGCGGCGGTGTGAGTGTTGGCGGCGGTGGTGGTAGTAGCGGGGGCCGGGAGCGAGAGGGGGGAGAACTCACCCCCCACCTGCCTCACCCTCCCTCTATCCACCTGCACCTCACGCTAAGTCGCGAGACCTCAGTCGCGCACCCGTCCGACTCTGAGACGGATGAGAGGCTCGTGGAGTACCATTCGTCCTTCAGTAGTGATCTAGGGGGGGAGTCAACCAGTGATTTCGAGTACCAGAACGAATCTAGTGAGCGTGTGAAAACCTTGGAGACCCACCTGAGGGAGGAGAAGGAGCGTGGAGATGTAAGGGCTGGCAGGGTGTTAGGAACAGAGGCCAGCAAGGAGCATGGCGGCCGTGGAGGGGGGGAGGAGGAGGTGCCGAGGTCCCCCCGCATAGCAGCAGCAGCCAACACCACCAGCCACACCACCACCACCACACACGCACTCTCCACCACACACGCCCCCAACACAGCCACACGCACCTCCACCACCACCACACACACACCCACCACCACACACACACCCATCTCCATCAAACACACGCCCACCATCACTACCACACGCCCGCCGCCGCCCCAACCCGCACCCAGGACCACCATGAGTGCCCCACGTCCACACCACCGTCATGGCCCACGCCCTCGCCGTCAGCCACTCCAGCAGCAGGATACACAGGGTGACCTCGACGCCCCGGAGAGAGTTATCCAGGTGGAGGGAGCATCTCAACCCGCCTCCCCGCACCTTGTCCTGCAGCCCGTCCACCACGACACCACGCCCTCCAGCAGCACCAGCGAGGCCGAGGATACCGACGAGGACGTTCACGTGTCTCGTAGTTATGATATTGTTCCTGCTGACGAGGTAGACGGTGAGAGTGAGGTCGAGGATGTCCTAACGGAGGGTGACGTGACCTCCAACCTCCTCGAGGCTGAGCAGCAGGGTGATGACTCCTCCTCGTCCTCGATCGACGGTGACACTGACGAGGACAAACACGTCAGTAAGGAGTACAGCCTCACGAGATCGTCCTCGTCTGACACGGACTTCCACAAGTCAGACGTTGACGATACTCCTGAGCACACCACCGCCGTCCTCGCCACAGTGCCCCTCGAGGACGAGGACGTGGTGGAGGCTGTGAACGCCGCCCTCATCCGTGACGTGGTGGATGAGGTGGACGACGCAGGGGCACAAGAGGCTGTGGAGGCCATCAATCACCACGTCTGTGATCTCACACTCGACGATGTTGTTATCACCTGGCCCGACGATGACGTGGCCGAGGCGTCAACAACATTGTCATTTGATACTCAAGAACAAATGGTGGGTGAAGAGAAGACGAGAGAAGAGAAAAATAATTCGGGACAAAATAACGACGATAAGAGATATGTGCGGTTTAGTGACGTAGATAAAGGCGTAATAGACTCCTCCAGTGCGTTGAGGGAGGAAGATGATGATGGTGTTATGGTGGAGGAAATTACCACAAGTGTTGGAGAAAATCTGGTGAGTGGGGAGAGTACTAGTGATGGAGACAGTGGGGGAGACAGTGCTATAGGTGTGGGTGAGAGTAGTGTGGTAGTGAGCGGTGATAGTGAGAGTGTGCTCGGTGATAGTGAGAGTGTGCTCGGTGATAGTGATGTCGTCTATAGTGAACAAATTACCTTAGGCAGTGACCGCGGGGAGGTGTGTTGTGATCAGACCACTGACCCTCACACACCACCCACCTCTGACACTGTCCTCAAGTCCGAGGTCACAGTTACGCCAGAGGTCACAGTTACGCCAGAGGTCACAGCTGCACCAGAGGTCACAGCTGCACCAAAGGTTACAGTTACGCCAGAGGTCACAGTTACGCCAGAGGTCACAGTTACGCCAGAGGTCACAGCTACATCTGAAGTTGTAAGTATATCTGAAGCAGGTGTTCCTGATGTAGAAGCTAACGCTGAATTCACACCTGTATCTGAGATGGAAGTAACTCTTGAGGCCACAGCTGTACCTGAGTCATCTGCACCAGAGATTGCAGCTGTAACTGATGCATCTGCGCCAGAGGTTGCAGCTGTATCTGAGGCCACAGCTGTACCTGATGCACCTGTGCTAGAGGCCACAGCTGTACCTGAGTCATCTGCACCAGAGATTGCAGCTGTAACTGATGCATCTGCGCCAGAGGTTGCAGCTGTATCTGAGGCCACAGCTGTACCTGATGCACCTGTGCCAGAGGCCACAGCTGTACCTGAGGCACCTGCGCCAGAGATTGCAGCTGTAACTGATGTATCTGCACCAGAGTTTGCAGCTGTATCTGTGGCCACAGTTGTACCTGATGCACCTGTCCCAGAGGCCGCAGCTGTATCTGAGGCCACAGCTGTACCTGAAGCACCTGCGCCAGAGGTCGCAGCTGTTTCTGAGGCAGAAATTAGATCAGAGGTCGCGGCCATAACAAAGGTGACTCCCGAGGACCCAACAGAGGCCATGGCAGCTACTGTGAAGACGACGGACACAGAGGTCACTACTCCCACACACGACGAGTCTGTTACATTACAGGAGTCCACATCAATACTGGGGGTCATAGTTACACCTGAGTCTGAGGTGGCACCAACAGACGGCCACCAGGAGGACAAGACATCCAGGTGTGGCTGCCCTCTGGAGGAGCAGGCTTCTTCAGGAGGGGATGAGGCCATGTTGAGGTTCTCAGGTGAGGCGGTCGTCACCCCAGGGGGAGAGAGACAGCCTCAGGAGTCGTCCCCGGGAGACCCTGTCTGGGACACCTGCCACACCTGTACAGCTAGTGCAGGTGTTGTTGCCGAGATGGAAGAAAGGGAGAGGGAGAGTGTGGGTACTGTGCCCCCAGGGCCCAGCAGCCTGCCCGGGCACACCAGGGAGAGTGAAGAACCATTCCTGGGAGAAAGTGAAGGGGCGGAGTATGGTGCTGAAAGTAATGGGGTGATGGAGGGTGAGGGGCCCGGACCTGCTGGCACTCATGCTGACGCCGGAAGTGAACAAGTGGAACACAGCACCGCGGTGGCTCACAGCTGCGGCCACACATCAGTAACACATGACGCGCCCGCGGGCCCGCACGTGTCAGCCGCCGCTCCCCACACTGTGAGTGACGTTACCAGTGCACCAGCGGACACGGCGCCGCCCGGAGAGGTACGTGGCTCCCTCCAGCAGGATATAATACAGTGTGATATTACCAAAGTGAAGAAAGATAGTGTCGAGGGAGAGTCTAGTGAGTCAGGTCACTCTAGTGCTGGTGAGAGTGAGGTGGAGGGGGACGACCCCGGTAATGTGGTCAAGATCAATGTGACGGAGGACGACGGCGTCAGCATCCCCGTCAGCGTGTTGGGCGAGGGTGTGGGGCAGGAAGTGAGGAGGTTCGCAGTGAGGCGGGTACGCTCGCCGGAGATAGTGTCGCGCCACACCCCACCAGTGCCCTCACGACGCACCAAACGTTCCTCCTCCTCTGACGGCGTCTCATCCTCCTCTGACATTGAGCGTTCTGACGCCGACGCAAGTGACTCCGCCGACACCGTGGTAGAGGGAGGTAAGCTGCACGCTGAGCTGCGCAGGTTCGCACTCCACCAGCGCCGCCACGACCACGACGACAAGGGTCGTGATTCTGACGGTCCTTCATCAGCTGACTCCGTCCTCCACGGTGCCGACAGCGAGTCTCAGTGTTCCGACAACAGCGAGGAGGGTAACCTGGTATCCATTGTGTCTGTTGGGGATGAAGACGACCACACCACGCGCATGTCCTCCCAGGGCAGGATATACATCAGGTCAGACTCCACGGACTCCGATGTACAGATTAAACCAACGTGTATTGTGGTGACAGGGTCGTCAGGGGCGGAGTCCGGAGAGGACGGTGACGCTGAAGGTATCAACACTAAGCGTAATATCAAGAATGAAGGTAACGACGTGACCATTCTAGAGGTGACGAGTGACGTACGACGTGGCCACGTCATGTCAGTGCATGTCACAAGTCCAGACTCCTCCCGCAGTGCCTCGCCTGCACGGAGGAGTCAGGTGAGCGAGCTGCAGTCCATGATCCTGACAACTCGTGAGCGTCAGCAGCAGTTCCGAAGGTCCCCGACAGAGATGAAAGAGTCGTCCTCGAGTCTGGCCAACTACTTCACCCTCACACTGGGCACAGACTCACCTCACGCTCCCAGAAGACTCAACAAAACTCCAGAAATTCGTCGTCGTAAAATTGACCGTCCTGAGACCTTGGAATCGCCCGCCCCCACAAGTCCCACAAGCCCAGCTCAAACCCCTGACCACTCCGAGGGGGATCTCCTGGCCTACGAGGAACACCACGGCATCGACATCGAGGAAGAGTACACTAACACCCAGGAGTATGACTCGTGGGAGGATGGAGAGAGAACAGTCACCTTCCCTGAGGAGATCGAGTTTGACGAAGACGTCTCGTTTGATGAGGTCAATCAGGAGTTTGTCGAGGGGGGCGAGTTCGATGGTCAAGATATTTATATCGAACATGAGGCTGAGGGACGCTTTGACTCCATCGAGGATGTCGAGTCTGTCAACAGTGAGTCGAACTACAGCGAATCTTCAGGCGACGAGACCTACGACCGAGAGATTGAACTTCGTGGGTACTGTAACAGAGCTATCGACTTCACCCTTCACACCATCATTGAGGAGAGCTGCGAGGAGAGCGATTACGAGAGAAAGCCGAAAGAGGAAGATGGGGCCAAGGCCGACCCATCTGAGCTGGAGAAGTACTTCTACTTCGACCTTGGTAACGGTCCCGCTGACTCCAAGAGATATGCCAACGAGGAGAGTGAGTACAGCGACACTTTCTCCGAGACCTCGAGCTCCATCTTCAGCGAGGGACTCGATGTTGACCCCAATAATGAAGAGGACGTTGATCCTGCCGAGCTGGCGTCATCCAGGCTAGAGAAGTACTTCCTGACGGGGTTCTTGGGGCTTGAGCGCCAACCGTCCATCAGGTCCATGGGTGAAGACTCTGAGCTCCACACTGACGAGAGTGGGTCCGTCGGCAGTGACTCAGAGGGGTCACCCAGCCCCGAGCAGCCCCGAAAGAAGCTAGTTAGACGACCTCGGGGGTTTCGTCCAGGCGTCATCAATAGATCTTTGGCGACGGCCGAGCGATGGGATGGCTCCCCGAGTGATGGGTCGCACCACTCTGAAGGGGATGATGTGGACAGGACCTTGGTGAGTGGTGAGGACGAGGGGTCCACAGAGTCCGAGGAAACAGCCTTCGACAAGGGAGATGGACAGTTCGATACCATAAAGCGAAGAAAAAAGAAAAAGGGTTCAGGGGATTATTCCGACAAGAAGTCCGACAGTGATAAGAGTGAACTGAGAACGCTGGAGCAACACGAGATAGAACACAGGGAGGAAATATGTGAGCTGAAAAATTCGGAGGCACTCAAGTCTCTGGTGCATGAAGGAGAAAAAGTGACAAAACGTGTGACAATTGAATGTGATAGAGAGAGCAGAGAGAGGTGTGACGAGAGAATGGAAAAGGAAGGTGACCTCTCGGACCGGAAGTACCTAAGTCGAGACAGTGGTTTCATTGGGAGTTCTGACGACTTGTTAAAGGATAAGCCCGAGGACAACCTCAAGGAACATAAGTCTCGCTTGTCCTCAGAGTCCAGCGTTGAGGATGGTGAGTCCTCCTCGAAAAGAAACGACCAGGCACAAAACGTGTCGAGTAAGAATGAAGAGAGCAAGAGCGACAGTTTCGACAACGACAGCAACAATAACAAATCAGAGAACGAGGAGCGTAGTAGCGGGGACGGCAAGGTGTCGAGGTCGAGCACTGGCTCCTCCGTCGACCTGCCGCCCTTCTCCCCCGACAAAATAAGGAACAAGATCTGTCGCAAAGATTCCTTTAACAACTGGAGCTCTGACGAGGAGACCAACATGATGATGAACAAGATGCGCGCCTTCTTCAAGACTATGATCTCCAACACCCGCGAGGCGCCTAAGGGGCATCGGGTCAAGCCTCCACAGTTACTGGCATTTGAAGCCAAGTTAACGAATCTCATGAAGACGGTGCCTGGCATCAATGACTCGCAGGTGAAGGAGATCGTCGAGTACCTGAGCTCGGAGGACACCTGGAGTGACTCCTATGATTCCTCCGACTACACTAGCAGTGACCTGGAGGGCGCCTATGCCCTTCTTGACCAAGCAGATCCGGAGATGAGGAGTGACTTACAGGAACAGATCTCGGCTTCTTGTCAACAAATAATTCAGAAGTTTGACCAGAGTCGCGAGCCAAGTGACACTGACAGCACTCACTCGCTCTTCGATGGACGAGCGTGTTCTGAGAGCTCTGAAGACGCTTCTCCCTCCAGCAAGGACACCGCGTTTGTGTACCAGCGGCTTATGTCCTCCATCTCCCGCCTGAAGCCTGACAGTGACAGGGGGAGCATAGGGTCCGGGTCACAGGGCGCCTCGCCGCCCCTGCTGGCTAAGGTGATGCACCACATAGGTAACCGCCTGGTAGCTCTCATGCACGAGGTGTCTGGTGGCAGTGAGAACGGAGACGACGACTCCCTCAGTGGCGGCCACCCCGTCACCTCCAGCCCAAAGGTTTCACTCTTCATCCCCAAGAAACATAAATCCGTCGATTCCATTTCCATCGACTCCTCCGTTGAGAAAAGCTCCTTAACCAGCACTAGTTTTGAGTCAGAGGACAGTCCCACCGACACCGAACAGTCCCCTGAGTCTGACCCCGGCACACCCAAGGCCCGCAAGCGTCATGGGCCGCTCTCGATCATCAGCGAACGGTCCTCGGCGGAAGATTTCACCTCCCTGGAGAGTCAACGTACCGTGTTTGCCTCTCACGATTCCCCGCGGCACCAGGCCCGCCTCGACGCCACCCGTCCTCAGCACAACACGACGTCAGAGCGCAGCCTGGAGGAGCGAGGAGTGACTAACATACAGTACTTCGTGACGGAAGGCAGCAACAATGAGGTGGAAGTCTGGCAGAGCGTCACGATTGATGAAGACAAATTCGACGCTCGGGAGCTTCATGGTGTGCCACGTGCACGACGTAGCGCTCGACGGCAGGAGGCCAGGAAGGCCAAGAGCCACATGAGCCTGGAGAAGATCCACCAGGAAGAGGTTAAGGCCACGGGCGAGAGGTCAGAGTCACTCGGGGACCTGCTGGACCGCGTCCGTTCTTCAGAATTCTCGAGTAGCTACGAGCAGCTAGACTCAGACTCTACACTCAAGGCGTCGGACTCGCTGGACCGACACATCGGGAGTAGTTCCTCAAACATCCGTTTGAATGCCTCCAGTCGTGGGTCTCTCACCACCAGCAGCCGGGGCAGCCTGGCGGCGTCTAGTCGGGGTTCCCTAAACGCCGGTTCCCGAGGCTCCCTCCAGGGATCTTCCGGTCCCGAGGAGGAGGATGAAAAGAAGCCCAAAAAGCTGAATTTCTTCCGGTACGCCAGACGATCATCCATGCCGGACACAAGCAAGGATCGCATGTCACCAGAAGTCCGCTCCACAACACTACCTCGATCAAATCCCACCCAGGTGGCCTCCACGGCCTCCCTCCCACGATCTCAGTTCGCCCTCCTCAACAAGACTAATTCGTCCGTCACTTCCTCCACACACACGCCCTTCGCCTCTCCTCCCTCTACCCTGGATAGGGCATCCATCACGGGACCTCGTTCTGCTCGTTACCACGCCCCAGGATATCGTCCACCCCCACCCACCACGCTTCCCAAACGCATCATCTCCACCTCCGGCTTCACCTCCCTCAGGAAGGACGCGGTGAGCAGCTGGGCGCCTCAAGGTAAGACAAAACACCATTTAATGACTTTTCACCTTCTCACGCACGACCCATGAGTCATGGCGTCGAGTTCTTGTCAGTAATTTTCGTCCCCACCATCAACTGTGTGACACATTTCACAGGTTTTCTCACACGATCTGTGTAAGGTTTTAATTATCGTGAAATTCTTAAATGAATTTGCAGACAGATAATATGTAGGAGAAACTGTAGGGGTTGATGTTATGCATTTAACACTTTTCCCCCAATGTATTATAGTTAAGTTCTCCATCTTAATCATCATCTTGGACGTGTTTGAAGATACAACAGATGGGAGGAAAAAACATAAAAAAATTAAATTTTCGGAGTTATTATTTTATATCTATACAGACAAATTAATTTATGACGTGTACAGAGAAACGTGACCTTACTGTAGTGTACAGTGGAGGCTCACGGCCACCGCCTCCCTTATAGTCTTTGTTTTGTTGTTTTAGCTGACGGTCAGTGTGTTTGTTACTCTGAAGCTGACGGTCAGTGTGTTTGTTACTCTGAAGCTGACGGTCAGTGTGTTTGTTACTCTGAAGCTGACGGTCAGTGTGTTTGTTACTCTGACGGTAAACTTCCTTATTTCAAACTTTTTTCTCATATCTTGAAAGTTGATGTTTTCAAACAGTTTGTATTTTCACATTAACTGTGTCCTTAACTGTGTCCTTAACTGTGTCCTTAACTGTGTCCTTAACTGTGTCCTTAACTGTGTCCTTAACTGTGTCCTTAACTGTGTCCTTAGCTGTGTCCTTAACTGTGTCCTTAACTGTGTGTCCTTAACTGTGTCCTTAACTGTGTGTCGTAACTGTGTCCTTAACTGTGTCCTTAACTGTGTCCTTAACTGTGTCCTTAACTGTGTCCTTAACTGTGTCCTTAACTGTGTCCTTAACTGTGTGTTCTTAACTGTGTTCTTAACTGTGTTCTTAACTGTGTGTTCTTAACTGTGTCCTTAACTGTAGGATATAAAATGATTTCCGATATAACATTAATTGGAACCTTATGTATGATAGCGTATAATGGTGTATGATGATGTATGATGATGTATGATGATGTATAATGGTGTATGATGATGTATGATGTATAATGGTGTATGATGATGTATAATGGTGTATGATGATGTATGATGGTGTATGATGATGTATAATGGTGTATGATGATGTATGATGGTGTATAATGGTGTATGATGATGTATGATGGTGTATGATGGTGTATAATGGTGTATGATGATGTATGATGGTGTATAATGGTGTATGATGATGTATGATGATGTATGATGATGTATGATGGTGTATAATGGTGTATGATGATGTATGATGGTGTATGATGATGTATAATGGTGTATGATGATGTATGATGGTGTATAATGGTGTATGATGATGTATAATGGTGTATGATAGCGTATAATGGTGTATGATGATGTATAATGGTGTATAAATGGTGGGCGGGGCCTTACTGTACACAGGAAGAAGTAAATAACAGTGGCTTGTTTATATTGAACCCCACACTGAACCCCCACATTGAACCCCACACTGAGCCCCCACACTGAACCCCCACATTGAACCCCACACTGAACCCCCACACTGAACACTGAACCCACACTGAACCCCACACTGAACCCCCACACTGAACCCCACATGAACCCCCACATTGAACCCCCCACACTGAACCCCACACTGAACCCCACACTGAACCCCCACACTGAACCCCTACCCCCACATTAAACTCCCCACATTGAACCCCCACACTGAACTCCCACACTGAACCCCCACACTGAACCCCCACACTGAACCCCCACACTGAACCCCGTGGTGGATCTCAAATGAACACGAATTCGAAAGTGGATTTGTTAATTAAAACTACGTTAGGTTAGGTTATGGTTAGGTTAAATTAGATTGGGTTAGGTTAGGTTAGGTCGTGTTTTACTGTGGTAGGTTAGGTTATGTCGTACTTTACTCTAGTAGGTTAGGTCGTACTTTACTGTGGTAGGTTAGGTCGTACTTTACTGTGGTTGGTTAGGTCGTACTTTACTGTGATAGGTTAGGTCGTACTTTACTGTAGTAGGTTAGGTCAATTTCTTACTGTGGGTAGGTTAGGTCACTTACTGTGGTTGGTTAGGTCGTACTTTACTGAGGTAGGTTAGGTCGTACTTTACTGTGGTAGGTTAGGTCGTACTTTACTGTGGTTGGTTAGGTCGTACTTTACTGTGATAGGTTAGGTCGTACTTTACTGTAGTAGGTTAGGTTAGGTTAGGTTTTACTCTGGTAGGTTAGGTTAGGTCGTACTTTACTGAGGTAGGTTAGGTCGTACTTTACTGTGGTAGGTTAGGTCGTACTTTACTGTGGTTGGTTAGGTCGTACTTTACTGTGATAGGTTAGGTCGTACTTTACTGTAGTAGGTTAGGTTAGGTTAGGTTTTACTCTGGTAGGTTAGGTTAGGTCGTACTTTACTGTAGTAGGTTAGGTTAGGTTAGGTTTTACTCTGGTAGTGCCGTGTTATCTACCTCCCCACTAGCGGTACTTTAAACGACCCTCAAACAGGAAATAATTACTCTGTATATCACTCCAGCTGTTGAATAGAACACACACAGGAAATAATTACTCACACATTATTAATTTATCTCATACTTAAACAGAAAACAAACAGAGGAAATTAAAAAAAAACATGTAAATTATAAAAAAAAACGGAAATTATAAGAAAAACGGAAGTTACAAAAAAAACGGGAATAATGAAAAAAATGGGGAAATTATCACGGTAAAATATATCAAATCCGCTGATATTTTAACCAACAGATTCCTATTTTTTTTTTTTTTTTTAAGAATTTCGGGAACACAGATGACGAGAAAGTTATTGGTTCCTGTTAATTGTATGGTAATAATAAGGCAATTTGGTAGTTAGGGAAATAGGGATAAAATAATGATAGAGAGGGTTATTAATCATGGTAGAAAGAGATGCTGTTAATGGTAGGAGATTTACGTAATTCCTTTATTGATTCGCTAATCCTCTGAGGTTATGGTGAATTGGTGATTAGTTCTTGTGGGTCGTGATTAGTAAGACTGGGGGTCTGTCACTGTGTATGTCGCAGTTGTGTGTGTGTGTGAGAGTTAACAGGGTCTTAAGCGGGTTACTCTCACACGCACACGCCCAGACACACGCGCATATTCACTCATACACACAAACGTTCACACATTCATACACATTCATAGAAAAACATGCTTACACTTACATACATACATACATGCATACACTTACATACATACATACATACATACATACATACATGATGTCGAACTCAAGTCAAACTAGCTAGCAGGACATTGAATAGAGGAGGAGGAGGAGGAAGAGAGGAGGAGGAGGAGGAAGAGAGGAGGAGGAAGAGAGTAGGAGGAGGAGGAGGAGGGTACTAATATATTCTGTCTGTGTGTGGCACAAGGTTTACCCCAGCCAGTACCTCTTGCTGGAGTACTTACCTAAACTTGCCTTACTGGAGTACTTACCTATACTTGCTGGAGTACTTACCTTGCCCTACTGGAGTACTTACCTAAACTTGCCTTACTGGAGTACTTACCTATACTTGCTGGAGTACTTACCTATACTTGCTGGAGTACTTACCTTGCCCTACTGGAGTACTTACCTAAACTTGCCTTACTGGAGTACTTTCCTATACTTGCTGGAGTACTTATCTTGCCCTACTGGAGTACTTACCTAAACTTGCCTTACTGGAGTACTTACCTATACTTGCTGGAGTACTTACCTTGCCCTACTGGAGTACTTACCTAAACTTGCCTTACTGGAGTACTTACCTATGCTTATCCTACTTACCTACTTACCTATCCTATAATAAAACTCGGTTAAAAAATGGAAGGGTCGGGTTTAATTCAGGTTTACTCTGGTTTATTTAAACATGGAGCAGCCTCGTGTGCTTGTTTTAATCCCTCCATAAAACTGGTTTAGGAGTCTTAGGGAAGGTGTTGGTTGGGTGACCGGTAATAAAGTCAGGGAAAAAAGTCACAATTTTGGCGAAGATCTGTTAGTCTTGTGATCCTCCCGTCGAGCAACACACGAAGGCGTTCCTGTAGCTGCACATAGTGTTGACGAGTTCTTCTTTGAGGTGGGTCGCCAACAGCATCCTGCTTGATAATGGTGCTCACTGTCACTTCTTCAAACTGACACCATTCAATCACGCGCCAGATTGAGGGATGGTGGTGGCCGACGAGGATGAACAACTTATTATTCCACCCTTCACAAATGTTGTTGGTACGAGCAGTGTTGTTCATGCCCATTCCATAGGTGTGGGGCGACTTTTTTTTCTGTGACTTTTTTACCTGGATTCTTGGTTGTGGGTCGTGGTTTCGGTTTATTTGGTTTAATGTGGTGTAAATCCTGGTTTATGAAGTATAGTGTGGTGTAAATCCTGGTTTATGAGGTTTAGTGTGGTGTAAATCCTGGTTTATGAGGTATAGTGTGGTGTAAATCCTGGTTTATGAAGTATAGTGTGGTGTAAATCCTGGTTTATGAAGTATAATGTGGTGTAAATCCTGGTTTATGAAGTATAGTGTGGTGTAAATCCTGGTTTATGAAGCATAGTGTGGTGTAAATCCTGGTTTAAAGCCTCACACCTCCACCAGACAGGTTTAATTAATTTGCTAGTAGTATTACAGGTAGGAGAGGTTAACCTTACCTCACCGTGCTGGGTTTACTAAGCAAGGGAGTAAACCTAAGCCCTGGGTTTACCTCCTTTGACTCATGAACCAGACACGTGTAAAGGCCAGGGCTGGTGGTCCTCCCTCCTGACTGACAAACACATGATGCTTCCTTGTGTGTGTGTGTGTCTGTGTGTGTGTGTTATTATTTTAATTTGTTATTACTATTATTATTATTTTAATTATTATTATTAGTAGTAACTGTAGTAATAATAATAGTAGTAGTCTTTGGTCGTAGTAGTAGTAGTAGTAGTCGTAGTAGTGTAATAATAAGTAGTGAGAAGCAGAAGTAGTAGAAGAAAAAGAAGGAGAGAATTCTTATTACTAACGGTACA